AGTCGTATAAAAATGTCAAAAATTTTTATGCTAAGATATTTTGCATATTTTCTCTTTTGATATATTCTAAGTATTCTAACTCTATTCTCTAAAGCGTGAAATACCTCGTATAGAGTATTATTTAAGAGATTTCTCGAATGAATCTTGATCTTCTTGATCTTCTTGAATCTTTCTATCTATTTATTTTCCTTATTGATCATTGCATGTCATTAAAAATCAAATAAATGCTATATCTGTGAAAATGACGTAAGTCAATTTATTATTTAATACATTCATAATTCGTATTTTGTATTATTCAATGAGTGATTTAATAAATAATTTTAGTGATTTAAAATAATTACAACGATGATAAAAATAATGACGATAATTGCAATTAATATTAATTAATTAAATTAGTCAAATGTAATTTACTTGCCTAATTTATATAACATATAGTTTTTGGAATTTTCCTTTCTTCTTTATACCTTTATATCTTTAATTATAATCTTTTCAAGAGAAGATCAACGAAGATTGCATCCATACAGAGTCTTCTTCGAAAAGGGTTGCGTTTTCATGATGATTTAACAATTCAATCGAGTGTTTCATCGACTCAAAGGCTGAGAAAGTTACGGATTTCATGGTGGTTCCGTTAAAATGGAGTTGCGTCTATTGTGATTATATATATATATATATATATATAGGGGTCCTTGATAAGACTACGTGATAGGCCAGATATAGATATATCGGAGTCGCTTGTTAAGCTCGCTTTTTATCTTAAGCGACTTCGACCTACATTCCACGCGCTTTTTACTATCATCTTATAAGTGCACAAGATAGATAAGATGTAGCCTATATATACGCTCTTAGGAGATGTAGATTCTTTCCATTTTCTAATTTTAAAAAATTCTAATACATCGGTGATTAATTTTTCATATATACTGAATTATGAAATATTTTTGCTGATAGTTTAAGAGAAAGAATATGGAATAATAGGGCTGACTGAATAAAATTTTGAATATTCAGATATAAAAATGTTTTTAAAAATTACTTGTTTTCCGGCCTATCCAGTCGCCGGTAAATTTTATTATTATCGAAACTAAGACCTCTTTCATTCAATAGGCAGTCATTTTCATTACTGTGAGCCACCTGTAATCCTTCTCGCTTACATATTTTTTTAGTACTAAATATAGTGGGGATACTACACATAGAATACTATTATAATAATAATTATTATTACCATTTACGCTAAAAATTGCTTAGTCTAGTTTGTGACTTTCGAATTCCTAGGATGAGCAAATCCTTGATAATGAAAGGAGCGTGCCCTTATAACCGAATATTAATAATTCGCAAATTTTACTTGTCATATATTTTTACGTTACTATTATTATTACTATTATTATTACGTTATTATATTCTTGCTAATACTATTAAATTTGCTATTATTATTTTTAAGTTTATATTATTTATTGTTATTCTTCAGTTCTTAGATTGCAATGTATCGTTGCATTAATTAGAATTAGAATAATAGGAAATATAATAATAGAGAATAATAGAGAAATTTATCTTTGACGATAATGTGCAAATTTTTTTTATTTCTTCAAGATATTTTAAATATTTAAAACATATTTTAAATATCTAAAATTGATAAAAGAACGAAAAAAACATCGTTAAGACTCAATTTTTTTTTCGAGTTATTAACGAATTATTAACAAAAAATTATTAACAAAAAATGCCACTAAAACAATGGGAAGTTAAAAACTCTACATGGAAAATAACCAAATTCAAAATATTATAATTAAGTGCGTCTATAGGGGTTGCTTAACTTAATAACTAAATCTTAATAATTAACCCATAATAACATTAAGTCTTAATAATTAAGTCATAATAACTAACAATAAGCCTTAATAATTAAGTCACAATAACCAGCAAAAAGTCTTAATAACTAAGTTATAATTGATTTACAATTAAGTTTTATAATTAAGCCTTATATTTAAGTTTTAAAATTAATAAGCCTTATAATTCAATCATAATTAGATAATCCTTCTTTCTTTTTCAATATTACTTATATAAAATTGTTTATGTCTTAATTAATATAGAACTTCCAACACAAACTTAATTATCAGAAGCTATAAATGCTTAAAAATTTTTTTAAGTCTCTTAAAAAGTCAATGTTTAAAAAATAATATCTCCAAAAATATTTTATAAAACGAGAGCAGTCGGTTTTGATAAAAATTAGCTGAAAATCGTCGATCTATCCATCTTTATTTTTAATTATTATAAAATTTTGTGCATTTTTATACAGAGAGAAAAATTAATTATTTAGCGTAAGAAATTAAAATTTATTTCTGGGCAAATATAATCCTCTTGTAGAGCCAAGTCTCGACTAAACGTGACATAATAGCAGTTCAACGATTCTCTTTTCAATTTGTGTTTTAATTATCTCAATCGTACTTGGTACAGAATATGTACCAATTAACATCGCGAATCGAATATTGGGTCGTTTGCATCACATTAAACAGTTTAGATTTATATCTTAATTTAACTAAGATTTTATTCGTTTATTTTTTTTTTTTTTTTTTTTTTTTTTTTTTTAATTTATCTTCTTACGAAAGAGCGGAAAGCGATAGAATTTGTCATCGATTATCAAGATCACTTCGAGTCAACTGCATAAATGTATATATCACCGTACATTCTAATGCCCTTTTTAAACAGGGCCTACTCTCTGCGAATAAAAACATTGTAAAATTAAAAATAAAAAAAAATTATAAAAAAAGAAATAAGAAAATTGAAATAAAGAACATGAAAATTTGTAAAATCTGAAAATTGTAGTTTTAGATAGTCATCCAATTTTATATTAAAGTTATTAAGTAATATAAAGTGAGAATATGGAAAATTAAAACGCGGATACGGAAAACTCGACGAGACTATATAAAATAAAAAAAATTGAAGGCGATTTTTTAATTTTTAAAATCGAACACAGAATAATATTGTCACGTGCGGAGTAACTGAGAAAACTTTTCGATACTTTCTCGTTAGTAATGAATGAAGAAAGAGAGAGAGAGAGAGAGAGAGAGAGAGAGAGAGAGAGAGAGATGTTTCGGTCTATCTCCAACTGACTAACATGTGTGAGAGCAATAAAAAAATCGAAACCTACGTGATTTGAAGAACTCTTGAGATTTTTGACAAGATAGGAACTCTTCGATCGATGCACATCTAATTTTCTCAGCTTTATAATCTGCAGCTGTTGTAAAAATCGTGCTACTTTTATTTTTTCTCGCTATTTCTCCTGAACTTGTCTTGTGAAAAATTCCATTTTAATTTTTTTTGTCATCGGAAAATATTTCAAAAGAATCGAGAAAAAATACGGCATCGTATGCATATATGAGATTTTTTGTAAATTATAATTATCAAACGATATTACGAATGCGCACATCGTCTCTCTATCACATTCGCGAGTTGGCTCGAATTGACCCTTCTATTCATTATTATCTGTATTTTGTATCATACATAGAGTGTCTTTTATGTGAAAAGTTTTTCTTTATTGCGCTATGAGTTTTCCAACGCGTATGTTATTATAACGCATGCGTTAATTAGAAATGTGCAAAATTTTGTGAGAAAAATTATTTTTTATTTTCCAATTTGTCACTTTTCTAACGCAATCAGTGACACATGTATATCTTTTTATGTCACGCCTCGTTTTTCCTTGAGCGAGCATAACGCATGCGTTAAATACAGTGTTATAGTAAATAGGTCTGCTCTGGATTGCACTCCAAAGATTCCACTCGTAATCGGATAATGTTACAGGAATAGTATAAAAAAAAATAAAAAAAAACCTGATTCGAATAAATTTGTAATGAGAAATAAAGTAGAAAAGCGTAATGAGAGGAAAAGATTAAGAGAGTTGTTTTAGAGGAATAATATTCTTTTCCAATCCATTGAAAGCGAAGATTGTCTCTGTACCTTAATTTTTGAAGAAGGATTAACGTGACATATTATTATATTCGCTTTTTGAAAAAAATCGTGGATCTACTTTGAAGTGGAATTTTGGAATACAACCCTCTGAACTATTATATAACGAGCGATCTCACGTCTATTTAAATGTAAGTTTTACGCATTTTAGCGTGTTATGCGACACACACATTAGCGTATTATATAACTGACACATAAACTGAGATACAAAACTTATAAGTATATAATGCCTTAATGTTAATGATAATATCGGAAGCGTTATTGTATAATTAGCTGACAAGAAGGAATATTTGTGGGGGAAGGAAACCAGGCCAACACACACAAAATGCCGAAGACGCGATCGATGTCATTTTGTTCGCGATATTTGATATTTTCTTATAATTCCAATAAAATAGGAGAGAAAGGGAGAAAGTATGTATGTATGTGTGTGTGTGCGCAAGCGAAGTGTGTCCCATAGCGAATTGCTATCTAAAATAGTTCAAGCTAGTTGTCGATGTTTGAATAGCAGATAAAGAATAATGCAGGATATAATTAAAGAAACTAAAAATCATTAATATCACCGGTTTTTTATTCACCCAGGCTTCTATATATAATACAATTGTTTTATAATACAACACATACATATTAATATAATATATTAATTATTATATATTAATATTATCATGATTATAATATAATTATTATAATTATAATAATAATAATTATAATATAATTATTATATAATATAATTAATATTATTAGTATAATAATATAATTAATATTATTATTATACTAATAATTATATTTATAATTATATAATATTATTTATAATATTATATATAATATGTAAATAAAATATATAAATTATATATATATATATATATATATATTAATAGAATGATATTAATATAATAATATATGTATTATATTACAAGGAGCATATTGCCAAGAACATGTCTTATCATTTAATTAATGTCGATATTACATTCTTGCGTGTAGAAGAGAAATGTAAATATTAATTTTTAAATATTATTAATCTTTTCAATTTTTCGATATAAAATAGTATATATAATTTAATTTACAAACATTGCGAAATTTATTACGAAAAGCGGAAATAATTATAAATAAATGTCATTTTATAGCCCTTTATAACAATTAACGAGATGAATTGAATTTATCGCGATCTTTAGTATCTGTCGAGACGTTGTCTGATACCTTATGCATTTTTCTTATTACTGGAACATCGCAATCTCTATAAAGTACATCACAATCATCTCCCCGAATTCCTGCTGCACCTGCATCTCTCACAAGACGATCCCAACCTGTAGGTGACTTGAATGATTTTTCTATATCTCTCCTAAAAAACTCATGATGTTAAGTCCAATGGACATACACAATGATCTTTACGTACATTTTGGATCTACGTAATTATGGAAATAAATTTTTTTTTATTAATATTTTCTGTTATTTTTTTCTATTAAACTCTTCCAGCAGTAATACCGCAATACAGGAGTTAAAAAACTAACAGCAGAAACTTACGTCAAGTGCTTCGCCAAAATTTTGCCAGGCGCGCCCAAATCCCTAAAGAGTTTACGGTTCTCAAGACAGATGGTCCTTTGTATGCATCGTACTCTAGCATCGTTATTAAGAATCTCCTCCTCTTCCGGGGTCTAAAAGTTTCGCGGAAAGTCTTAATCTACCGTCGACGGTACACAAATTTTCTGGATTTCATGATTTATCCTAGCAACTTTTTGCTCAGCCAGCAGACACGAAATGTTTCATTATGGTGAGTAAACTTCGACGTCTTCAACAAATTTTATCTATAGCCAGTTTTGCGATCAAATTAAATTCAGACTAATTTTCTTGACAAACTTCAAAAAACTTGAAACTTGTTACCTATTTATAATCTATTGAGTTTTTATTTTTAAATTAAAAAAAATTTTTTTTATAATTTTTTTTCTAAAAATATTTATATATTTTTTTATAATATTAAATATTTAATATTATATATATAATTATTTTAAGAATGTAAACAACTCTTTTAAAGAATTCTGTCTCTAAAAATATTTAATGAAAATCTCCCTTATTATATATACATATATATGTATAACATACATAATTATTTTAAGAATGTCCTTTTGCAAAATAGACAAATTTAACTAAATTTTCATCAAATTTCTTATATGTGAAAGTTTTTTTAAATTTACAATATTAATTAAAAGGTATATATTAAATTTTTAATAAAATCTTATTAAACTAAAATTAAAAATGACGTTACCACTGAACGAAAATCACGCGTAGCATAGACATCCCGTTTTTGCCTAGATGATAACAGGTCCATTATCGCATCTTTACGCTTGGTGGAACTAAGCGTATTTTGTATGATCGCCAAAAGCAACAGAAGACCAATGAAACTGACTATTATAAGCTGTTTCGACGAAGGAACAACGGATTGCTCTATCGAGTGCGCCATTGGATATCCAATGTTAGGATACTCATATCCATATGGCATGTTTTCGCTTCTATGATGCAGAAATCGTTGGGGCACTGAAATATTTTTTTAACAATATACAAATGAATCGAGAATGCGAGAGAATCTAATTTTTAAAAATATATACACACTTACACTTGTATAAAAAAAAACAACTGTACTGTTACATACATAGGGTGATTCACGGAAATGTAATAAACAAATAAACACACATTTAAATAAAATTCCTAAAAAATATCGAAAAACAGTGGTATATAAATTACAGTATTTGTTTTGATTTATCTCTTTATTCTTTTCATATAATAAAAATTCTACTACTACCACGTGTTTGAAAATATTTTGTACTAATATTTAATAATAATTGTTATTTCATATTCATAAAAGAGCTTGATTTCATTTTGAAATTTAGAGTGCCACAGCTCCATACATTTTCAATTTAAAACCCATGTTAATATGAACTTTTTAATTCAAAATGACTTTAGGAATGCCCTAATTATGGGGACACCAATAAAACTTCGTAAATCACCTTATGTTAATTCCATGAAATAGTTTAACAAAGAAAAAGAAAATAATTATTTCTCATCATTCAAAACAATAGAATTAATGTGACAGATATCAAAATAAAATATTAAAAAATATTTGGATTTTTGCAAGAAGTTATAATATATATACACTTTATATTTTGACGTCAGATTCGCGCGTATTCAGTGACTCAAAAATTGTTAAATTTAAATAAACATAATTAAAATTTATTTCGCAGATCCTTACTAATCTAATTTATAATTTTCTCACATAGATCTCATATTGAACCATAAAAATCCTACGATACGGTTTAAAAATCAGACGACACGTATGCTTCTTCTCTAAGAAATAATCTCCAGTTTTCCAAGAAACTACAAATACTGCGTTTGAAACGTATGTTATTTTCAGTAACGAAAGAGAGAGAGAACACACTCCAATTCGAAAATGACGTCTGTGCTTTGTAGCGCTAACGCGACGACCGAAGCGCGACACGTTGAGCTTGATTATAGCCTCGCACAAAGGATAAATGATCAAACGACACCGTCTTAGCGTAAACTAAAATAGAAAAATCTTTACTGGGGAAAAAGTAATCCGAGGGCAGCATCGGCTGCGGCTGCGGCTGCTGCGAGGGCAGGACGAGGGTCGTAGGGACTGCCCGCGTCATATCCGGTTGAAGGGCCGGCGGCTCCATTTTACTTCCCATCTCCAAAGACGTACCGTTTCCGTTAAACGGTAACATCGCGGTTTTCGAGTTATCCTGGCTGGCCACGAGCGAACCCACGAGGGTGCCCAATAATACCGGAAGTACCGTCATCCTCTTCGCGGAAGTATCGACACAGAACTCGCCGGATCGTCACAATTGGCACTCTTTTTTATCCCGAGAGTTGGAATGTTGGAACAGTCGTGGATTGGGACACTTAACTCTTACCCGTATGGGGCCATAAATGAGTGGAGAGACTCAGATGTCTCGGATCTAAATCACGGGATCTAAAATACCGCTCGGAATTCGCGAGCGAATCTCCCTTTGCATGACCGCGTCAAATTCGATACAGTCGAGACAACGAAGAAAATGGCACGAGCCATTTTGGGAGAAACTACCGGGGCCCCATGATGATGATCATTCGGCCCGTTGAACTGTCTGATGAGTTTACGGAGCCGCGACGGAACCTCAACAATGAGCTAATACACTTCGTTCCATTGTGATTCCAGAAGGATGTACTTTCCAGAAATTGCCTCTTTCTTTCTCGTCGGAACAGCTCACAATTATGTGGGTATTTTTAAAATCCCGAGCCAGTTTCAGGGAGGAATGATAATTTTCTGGAGAGTATATATATAATAGTTGTGGACTATTTCTGACAGAGAACGGTGCAAGTAGACGTTTCTGACAGCTCAATGTTTTTTTATCAGTTCATTTGATCAAATCCACGTAGCTTCGCTACGTCCTAAATATTTATTTGCCTTAGAAAAGTCATATGATTATTAAATCCTTTCGCTAAGCAATACAATTCTCTACAATTTCTATTTGAATAATTTCGAGAAACTTGAATACTCTCTGATCGGCAACGTTTTATGAGCAATTACGAGAAATCCAGAAACGGCGAGGAAAAAGTATTTTGACCTCGTTGTGAAGTGGATGATAGAACTTTAGCGTCAATTTACTACTGAACTCTTGAAGTTGCCACTACTATCTGAATTAAAATGATATATAAAATGTTATAAGGACGAGACGATGAGAGAGAAAGAGAGAAATGCGTGTGAGTGTGTAACTATGTTGCATACAGATATTCTAGTATAACGAGAGAGGCAACGAAGGGTAGATCGGTTCGTTCGGCTATCTGCTAGAATGCAAGGGGTTGCTATGGCGATGGGACAGCAGAAAGTGGGGTGAAGGGAACCCGGGAGGGTTTGTCTGTCTGCAGCCCTTCTAAAGGGGATGATGTCCTTCGTTCTGCTTGTGTCATCACTCGTCAGACAACGCAACTTTAAATATCCATGTCCTTCTAATGATATATTTTATCTCATTTTGCTGCTCGTTTAATAAATAAATATATATATGTATATATATATAGTATTATTATATTATTTTATTATTTATTATTATATAATATTTATTATATATATTTATTATTTATTATATTATATTATAATTTAGTTAATTTCGATAATTTAATTTCAAAGACAAGAGTATTTTTGGCAGATGAACATTTATTTTACCCTTTACACAACTTAATTATCTTTTATATAACTCAATTAATATTCTTTAGATAATGCAAAAGAAAATTCACGCTCTAGGTATCTCAAACCACCCACTCTTTTACTTGTCCACCGTCAAGCACATGCTGTCTCTACTTTGTTCATTATTCACACCTACAAAGATCTTCATCTTGCGCCAACGTGTGAAAAGAGCTTATTGTTAGTTTTTTTTAACTGTTAAAAGGCAAAAAATTATTACAATGATGAATATATAATGTAAAAGCAACATCAATGCAATTTGCAACAATCTTAAAGAATAAAAAATACAATTGTGAAATAAATAATAAATAATTAAAAACAAATAAAGATACTTTACAGAAATAAAGAATTAAAGAATATGAATTTCTTGAAATTTTATTAATTATATTCATAACATCTCATTTATATTATAATATTGATATTCATCTTCGTATTTTTTTTTATTTTGTAAAATATTTTATGATATAATACATAAATTAAGAAGCACATTTCTCAGAAGGTCATTTCAAGGAAAATGTCTTATAAATGTGAATTTAATTTGTAACATAATTATAATATTAAAATACAAACGCATTCATTATTTATTTGAACATTTAATTTTTTTAATGTTTAATTTTTCTATTTTCGATAAAATAAAATGTCCCAAAAAATTGTATATTAATATTGTACTTACCTTAAACGTTTGTGAGACATTTTATTTGAAATAATCTCATGTGAAACATGTGTTTTCGACATTTATACAAGGTTTCTAAATAAATGTGAAAAATTTTAGATGATTCTTTGTCGAAAATTAAGGTAGGTTTTTCATATAAACATGTATTCCTTCCCCGAGGAGTTACACTTTTTCAAAGAGAAAGATGAAAAATATACTTTTATTTTTTACTTGAAAACTATTAATTTTACGAAAAAAATAAAAGAAATAAAAAAGTTTCTAAAGGAATCAAGCTTTCTAACGCATATTTTAGTTCTTGCTCGTCGAGAACTCAAGGAGAAAACTCCTAATAGGACTCAGGGTAGTCCTAAGAGCTTTCAAAGCTCAGTAACCAGTACGCGGAGAATAATACGGTACGCGAAAAATAATAGTGCCGAAGGACATCGTAAGCATTGTATCAAACGTGCTAATAAATACGCGATCGTTATTAAGGTGCGGAAAAATTACTGACAGCGAAAATAAATTGTGTATAAACGTGCAGTGGCCTAAACAAGGAAATGTAAATAATTTCTTGGTCAAAAAGAAACTGTGTCGTATACTCACTCGTCCTGTCATCCCATGACAGTTCTCTCCAGCGGAATCCTGAGGGTCCAAGGTGATACAAAGCTGAGGCGGAAATCCCACGGCCACCTGTAATAAAAGGATTAAATATCAATCAGTCGAAATACAGACGTGAAGTCTTCATCTAGCATAGCGGATAGTCCTAAGAGTTATCTAGGCCAAAGTACCTGGCGACCACAAAGAAGGCGAAAGTTTCGCAGCCTGCTGACTGGTAAGTCGCTTTTCGATATATTCGGGAAGTCAGTTCGGTCACAGTTAAATGAGCGTTAAATTAAGTATGTCATTTGTGAGCCTGTGCGGTATCGAAGCTCAGCGAAAAAGTAGATGTAGCATAATTGAGATCGATATTTTGCCGAAAAGCGTGGCCACATTTCGATCGGTTAAAATGTTCTAATAAAAATTGAATAGGGGTTGTTAGTTTTATCCTCTTATAACGATATAGAAATATTAAAAATATTAATAAATAATAATGGAAAATATCCACTATATAATAAAAACTTCATTTCTTGTCCAAAATTTGAGAGAAAAATTAAAAACTTAATTTTCATCTCTCCCTTTGAAGGAGTCCTCTTCAGAAAGAGATATAGAGAGGAATATATATTTATGTGAAAAAACTTCCCTTAATTACCGAAAAATAATCATTTCCTAAAGTTTCTCGCACTAATTTAAAAACCCCCTATATGTATAATATTTTATATTTGCATCACGATCAATCTTCGAGATCAGCTAAAATAGTTGATTTATTCTCTCCTTCTCTCTTTCTCTCGCGCGCGCGCGGCGTCTATTGTCATTTCATTACGGATGACAAAAGGCGCTCTTTTTTTCAGAATCGACGAACATCATGGCTACGTATCGGGGTCATATCGATGATGGACACGCCACGTAAACGAGCCGCGATTTTACGCCAACGCGACGCGAATGAACATTATATTTTTAGCTCGCTTTTCCACCGCCGACTGACATCTGCTACTTTTTTATCAGTATCCAATAGCGAGCGCTCTCTCTCTCTCTCTCTCTTTCCTCGAAGCAGCAATCAGAGAGGTTCGTTACGCTCCATTATCCGCATCGGAGCGACGCCCGACGCCGATTTTACACGTTTACAGCCTTCCTTCAGGGCTGCGGATACCTGGATAGCGAGGGATAACGAGAACGAGAACGCCGCCGCATGGTCGATTAATTATAGAAAAATTGTGAACAAATAAGGTAAATACAAGTAGGACATGTAGAACATTATTGATTGCTCTACTCTCATCGATTCTTTTGGATATTTCGATAAATTCGTGAATATCGTCAGTATGATAGTTTAATAGTTCAATATATTATATGTATGTTTATTGCTAGAAAACAGTTAGATTGTACGTACAGGGTAACAGGGTGTTTCAGAAGGAATAGACAGTATTTTAAAACACGATTATACACATCATTTTGAACATTAAAATTTATATAAACGTGTATTCTATTCTGGATTAATTATAAAGGTACAACATATTTAATTTATTAATTTAGTAAAACCAAATATGAAATAATTACATTAAATTTTTACATTTGATAAGTCATGTGTTAATTTGAAATTTTTACTTTTACTCATGCCAAAATTATTATTAATTGATTTATTACTTATTATTAATCATTCAAAATTATTATAATTTATTGTATTTAACATAATTGTTAGAATTTCGATTTATTAAAGTTAATAAATGTATTCGTTCTTAAGATTGAGCGCGCTGTATTTTTATAACCATTTAGAATAGAACATGTTTATATAAACTTTTTTGTTTAAAATAATATGTATAATTATGTCCTAGAATGCTGATTATTTTTCCTAAAGCACCCTATATGTATATATATATATTTTTTTCATGTTTGAAACAATTAATGTATATAAGATGCATTTTTCTTGAAAACTGTCAGAAAATGTTTTCGCTGATTTATAAAAATTAATTCGAACAAAATTTCCTTCTTCAATGTTTTTATACATTTAATTAATGCAAGAGGGAGCAAAGAGATTTAAATCAAAATCGTTTAATTGCTCTGCATGCAGAATGCGGACACATCGCAAATGATATCCGTAATTTTTCTCTTGGCTCTTGAATAAGTAATGGCATACAACCTGAAATCATCTAGTTGCAGTTCAGGAATGGAACATCACCGAGAATCCATTCGGGTCAGGTGACTTGGGAAATCCCTTAAAGCCGAGAGATCTCGGCGATTCCTACCCCTTTTTCCGCAAGAGAATCCGTTTTCCTAACTTTGTGAAAAATCTCTCGTAATTTTTCATCCCTCTCTGTCTGCACTGTATTTCAAGTTAATGCACTTTTATATGCATTTCCTTATGTGTATATTTTTTTGTGGAATTTAATAGATGCTTGCGATCAAATTGATGAAATAAAATGCAAATTGAATCTCTAAACAATATGCAAATTTAAAAAACCAACAGTATGGACACATGAATTTTTAGTTTAATTTTTATTAATATACTGTATAGAATAGTGAAAGAAACCAACTTTATCAGTCATTAAATATTTATAATAGATATAGATGAAAATTTCTCCGTAGGATATATTGAAATATTTCAGAGAAAATACATATATGAGGAATCGTAGAAATGAAATTAACAAGAATTCTATTTTTCGACGGAAACGAAAATAATATCTTTCATGATTTTAAAGCAAGAGCAAATCGATATGTGCTCTGCAACAGCCCTTCCGTGCTCAAAGATCTATCTTTTAATAAATACTCGTTTTCCAACTCCGCCATCTGTCTCTTTAGTGGTCAGGAATGAACCTTTATAATGAATCCTCGTTATTGATCGTTATTAAATTGAGAAAGACATACGCATATCCCTGTAGGCAAGCCTCAACCTAATTTCTACGTAATTGTGATTATATGGAGATTTATGGATAAAAAAGATAATAATACCTTTATAATTGAAAATAAATTTTTGTTATGTTTTTACTTACACGAAAGTATCATTATTCATATTTTTTTTTATGTTGATATTTATAATGTTAATTATACGATATTACAATAAAATTTCAGCTATTACTTAAGATATTTTTTTTTATTTGAAAATATATCTTTCATCGACCATAATTAGGTCAATATTAGACAATGTGATTATGTTTATTTGAAACAACAACTTTCAAAGTACTTAAATAAATGAAAATTCAATTTTTATTCATAAGTCTCTTTTTCACAGAAGGAGATTGCATTTTAAAAATATACACATGAATGGTTAAATTAAAATTGTGTTTTACACACATCGTTTTTACAGATTTTTTAATATATATATATACTCTTTCTTTGACTTACAATTTAAGAATATTTATTATTTTATTTTACAGATTGATTTACTTATATAGAACTTTTATTATTCATTTTATTTTATTGATTGATTTATTTATATCGAATTTTTATTATCTATTTTATTTTATATATTGATTTATCTATATAGCACACTTTTATTATTTATTTTATCTTATAGATTAATCTATTTATTTTATAAAATCTTATAAATAAAAATCGCTAAGATATTTTATTTAAAAAATATTTAAAAATATATGTCATTGAATTGAAAAATTAAAAATTGTTTGAAATTTATTTCCGGTTTATCTCGCCCCTTCCTGCTCTGCTCCTTTCGCGCGGAAGAAGTGGAAATCGCGACCTTCCCCAATAAGTCTCGCACGTTCGCGAGCGCGACGCACAATGCGACGCATTTATTACGCGTCTCCACGCCGTACGACAAAGTCGCTTGTCGCGTGCACACCTGACCTGTGCTTCTACGAGTGGTGTCCTCTTTCTCTCGCTCTTTCTCTCTCAGTCTCCTCTGCGCTACATGTGCGCATTTCCACCTGCCCGCGTCGCCACCCCTATCAACCACCCTTCGAGGCTGCAACTACGCTGACCTTGTTCCAGCTTCCAAGAAAAGCAGGTTACGTGAAATTTTTACCCCCTCCCATCTGGAGAGCACGACCTGATTATACAGGATAATGCTAGAGAAATACGCAATTTCCTTTATATCCAACACAAAGCTCTGCATTTACATACATATCATATTTATGTATATATATAATAAAATTAATATAACTTTGTTAAGTATATATAAAAGAATGTACATATATAAAATATATATATATAAATATATATTCAAAGTTATATATGTGTAAACGGAAAAAAAGCTTGCGAAATGATTGTTTACTTTAAAATTGAGAGAATTATAAAAATAATCAAATTTTTATTGCACATATAATTTATAATAGACAACACATGTTTAACTCTCTTTCTCTGTCGCGTATATAAATTCTGATATATGTTATAAATAGTTTATCGAGGACAAAGATTTTATATATTAGCATTTATATATATTTTATACAAAAATAGCTAACGTGACCTCAAAGCTGCGTTTTATATCAAAAATTCCGTGTGCGTTTTCAATTTTTCAATTATCTTATTGATTTAATTTCACGGCACAATTCAAAGAAATAACTTATAATGCTGCTATGGGCTCGGAAAATAAAGGTAATGCATCAGCGCGTGTAAATTATCAATATTACTCGTACGGAAAATTTATTGCATTTTATCGAGTTTTATGCGGCTAATGTTGTGGTATTATTTTCTACTTTTCGATATTCATGGATTCATGGCACAGTTTTTTTCATTTATATGTATGTAATATAAAAATATAATTTTTGTATAATAAATATCACGATATATATCTATATTATATTAATGTTTCTATTTAAAAACTATCTATATTTCTTCAAAATTCTAAATTGATTATTTTTCTGTGGAAATAGAGAAAGCTTAAAAATAATGTAAATACCTAAAGCTAAAAAAATAGCAAAATACGAACCGACAAATCAATACGCAATCAATTTTCGTCAACGTTTAGGAAAACACTGATAGAATATTTGAATATTTAAATTGAATATATAATTGATAATTTGATGTATATATTGCGTGACTCAGCAATAGATAAAATAATCTAGCAATAAGAAAAATGACGGTTCCAACGAAACTTTTGAAACATTCTATTTAAAATCTAAATCTAAAATTTTATCATTATAATCAATAATAAAATATTGATATAAAATCATCGAAATTTGACAAGCGCTTCAGTTCTTTTTCAGTATCAAACCATAAACAGAAGATAATTAAATAAATAAGTGTAAGTAACAAGACTGTAGACTCTAGATAAGAACCCATGAGAATACATGTAGACATGTAGGAATGTTTATAGATTATTTGATTATTCTCAGGTATAGTAAAAACATTAATCCTTTAAAAAGAAATACACGTGTCGAGAGATCAAAACGATTATTATTATTTCTACTTGTGTGCGTTGCTTTTTATGAAATAAAATAAAAAACGGCGCTTCTGTAAAACTTTCTAAATCAATTTTTTTGCATTTATTTTGAAATTATATATCTAAAAAATATTCAAAAAATACAATTATGATTCTTTCTACTTATTGTATTTTTTGAATATTTTCTTGAAATTTTTTAAATGCAATAAATGCATAATGCGAGAAAATCCAGCTTAAGATTCCTTATTTTTAGATTAAAAAATGTTTTATTTTATTTTCTTCAAACTTAAGATTTTTTTTATGTATTTCTAAAATAATTCGCTAAAATATAAATCCTTTGAAATAGTATTTCTTTCGATTCTTTTCAATAATTGTTTCTCTCTCGGAAAATAAATATTTTAACAATACGTCTAACTATAAATCAATTTTTACATGAGTTTTTGTTTGTCTGTGTATTCTCAAAAGATCGAAGATTTTCGAATAATAACTGTAAAGGAATTGTAAAGGAACTGTTAAGCTTTTTGTGCAATACCATTTTAGTGCCAAAGAATGGAAAGAAAATGTATGTTAGTTGGAAAGAGATTTTTCATTGAGATTTATTGCTAAGAAGAAATATTCGATTTACACGGATGCTGTTATAAAGAAATTCAAAAGCTTAAGACACAATGTGTCAATTTCGAGTTGGCACATATAACTACTGCATGTTGAACTTTTTATTATTTTCTTAGTAATTTATTATTTTGTCAAATAAAGATTTATTAAAGAGACCTTAGTTAAAAATAAACATACAAAATAATGAAAATTTCTACTTCTATAAGCGTTTACAATGTGAAACGAATAAAATACAATAAAACTTGGCTATTTATAATTTCAAAGAGCTACTTATCAATGTATCAAAGTAATGTCTATATGAGAATCGTGCAAACAAAAGGATATGCTAATGCGAGAAATATCGAGCGCTTCAAGAAAGTTGTGCGACAAGTGTTCGACGTGTTTAAAAATATGTAATAATTTATAAAACTAAAGCAGCTACTCAGAGAGCAGAGAATATTTCATAAAGAGAACACTATAAATAGTTATAAAATTATAATTTTAGGGCCATAGTAAATTAATGGAGTTAAAAAATTCAATGCTATCTATAATCTTAATTTTATTATTAATAATAATTCGTCTCATATCTCAAAAATAAATTAAATGAAAATTTTTTAGAAATATAAAATATATCGTATCTCTTTATCGTCCAAATTACGGAAAATTTGATTTATAAAAATTCGTGTTTTTATAATTATATATAAAAATGTGAAGAATTCAAATTTTAACTTTAAAATACCTTTATTTTTTATAATATATTTTTTTGTTGCAGTTTGGATAATTTTATTATACTTACATAAATTAAGAATTTCTTCCTTTCAGTAAAATATCTCTTTGTGTAAAAAATTGAACTTTAAAATTATTTAAACGTTGAAGGAAACTTCTTTCAGACAACACATTTGCACTATTATTTTACTTAAAGAAATATTAACAATTTTGTTCAAAAAACTTATATCTTAATAAGTTAACACAAATATAAATAAGTGCAAACTTCAAAAATCAAAGTATGTAATAATATGTAGAAAAAGATTCCTCGAAATAGTTTTAAAATATACGGAAAAAATTCGCAAATCTTTCTTAATGACATACAAAACATATTCGGATAAGTTTAAATATGATTAATTCATTAACAATAATATTATACTATCAAAAATATCTTATAAAAAATTTTAAATTTTTAGAATTAATTGAATATAATTATATAATAATATTTATATAATAATATCATATCTCTATCACATCTCAAAAAAGATTACAACATATAAAAATCATATCATTATAACAATTATATAAATTCTATGCATTTATTGCAAAATATCGTTATTAATTATTAGAATCAAAGATAATGAGTGCATGAAATCGACACACTGGCAAGTAAATTTACCAGTGTGTATATTTTACTCATTATTTTTGATTATATTATGCCGAAGAAGATTTATTTCAAGTTAATTATTAGAATTGCATATTTTGATTGTCTAGTCAAATTTTTAAGCATTTCTTTTAACTGAAGCAAAACAGCAAAATTAATATATCTAATATAGTTTATAAAGTCATTGATTATTTTATAGGCAATGAAATATATTTAAAATCTTAAAAAATATATAAATAATATTCCAGAAATTTAAATAAAATATTTTTATAAAGTCATTGATTATTTTATAGGCATTTGATAATAAGCATTTCTTTTAACTGAAGCAAAACGAAAATTATATTCAAAATCGAGACTGCCTAGACCGAGAGATTCAAAATCGAGACTGCAGTTGAATTTGAATTTTTTTCAAAAGAAAATGCCCTTATATTACAATATGTCGCCTTTTCGCCTCCGAATCCCAGACTGTAATTTATCTATTTATCCCGCGCAAAACTCGAGAAAAAAAGGACATTCATTTCGTTTCGTGCACGAACTTGAACGACTCTCAATATTTACTTCCAGACTGCGTTTTATTTACGTCGGGACGCCGCGCGCGCGTCCCACATTCATTCATTTTCCCGCGTCCTGTTTCCCTGCGTTGAAAATCTCGACCTACGTTCAGGACTCGTCGGTGAAGCCTCTCTCATCCTGGAAAGGGGCTCTCCAGCGGAGGCGACTCTAGCGATCGGTTCAGTCTCGACCTGTTCTCTCCCGGGGGTTCCCCAGAGAGGGTTAGAAACGAAGTGAGAAAGAGAGAGTTTGGGCGTGTATACATACAAGCGGTACCCGCGATACACACAAACCAACCCCTTCCTTCTCAACCCCGTCCGCCACCCACTCTTATTCTCCGCGATCTCTCCATCCCTTTCCGTCTCCGACGCCCTTTTTGTCTCACCTCCGCGACACGCGCCTCCACTGCCCTTAACGCGCCCTTCCACCCTCTTTCTCGCAACCCCGTTCCATCTCTCTCTCTCTCCCTTCCTTCTTCGCGGACTCCGCTCTACTCGTTCGTTTCCACCCCCGACCATCGACGTTCCGCGTTTATCGAACCATTGCGCGCGCACCGATAACAGTAACGGGGCGTGCTACGTCTTGGTTGGCCGTAGACGTAGGTGGTGGACGCACGGCCGACCGACGACGACGAGAACGACGGCGGCGACGTCGACGTCGTCGAGGACGAACGTAGCAGACTGTCAGCGAGACTCGCCGCGCGACGAAGAGGAAGGATAGTAGTTCTGTCTTCACGGAGTGCTGATCAATCTCGTTTTCTCGCTTCTCCGTCTTTTTCGAGAAAGAGCGCGCGCGTTGTGTCAACATTCGCGGAGGAATACCCTACATCCACATCGAGGGGATCCTACGAGTGCAGCAGTTTCGGAGGTTTCACCTCGAAGATCGAAGCAAAACGAGAGCTTATGAGAAAAAGGATCGATGAGATGTTGAAGTCGAGCTAAGCTGAGGAAGAGTCTGGTGATATTGATACACGATCTTTGGTGTGTCTTTGGTGAGTCTCTCTCCAAAAGGGATCCCGTATTTCTAGACCACCAGCGCTAGGTTGGACGCGCTGGTCCAATTTTCGGTGGCCGCAAGAGTGCAAGAAAGAGTGCGTCGAGAGTGTTTCGGGAGAGAGAGAGAGAGAGAGAGAAGAGGAGCTAAAAAGAAAGAGAGAGAGTGTGTTAACTCGCGAGAGAACATAGAGCACGACACGCGGAGGGTCAAGAGTCAGGGTATCTCGAGTAGGGTGACACACACACACACACTCGGTACGTCGCTCCAGTGTTTTCGTTCACTTCAGGCTCATCCACCCTCCGAGAGGCGGAGGGCGGTGAAGCATCGATCGCTCGCCATTTTGCGCGACAGCCGACATCTTTTGCGCTCATCGACGACATCTTGCCGCGTGACATCTTCGGCGATACGAAAACTACAGCGGCTGCGGACTTGTCGCGTCAGGAATCAGGATATTCCCGTGTCCGTTGCGCAAGTACGTCTCGCTCTTTGCTTGTCGATCGCCGTTGACGACCGCCATATTAAACATCGCAACGCTCTCTCGTCGCGGGTAGGGTGCGTTATCGCGAGATCTCGCGTAGCTCGGGCTCGAGAAGAAACGAGATTTGGAGAAAGGGGTGTTAAATCGGTGCCCAACGTCGCGGGAGGAAGGAAAAGTAGTGTCCTTCAAGTCGAAGGTAGAAATCAGCAGGCTGGGAGGTCGGTTGAGCGAGGTCGTGGGTCCCGTCGTGGAGGAGGCCATCGAGCCAGGGGATGCGACCCCGCTGACGGGACCCTCGAGGGAGTCCTCGGTACCTCGAGCACCCCCGCCGCGGCGTGTCAACACACCGAGTCCGCCAAGACCGCCGCCCGCAACTTCAGCGACAACCCAGCATCAAAATCCGTGTCAGAACAACCCGGCCCACAATCCGGGCCATCAAAATCCCGGTCATCGCAACCCGGGCCACTCGCCCCACAATCCGGACAATCCCGGTAACAACCCCGGTCACCATCAGACCCACAACCCGGGTAATCCCGGCCACAACCCGGGTAATCCCGGCCACAACCCGGGCAATCCCAACCACAATCCGGGCAATCCCAATCACAACCCGAACAATCCCAACCACAATCCGGGCAATCCCAATCACAATCCGGACAATCCGGGCCACAACCCGGGCAATCCCGGCCACAATCCGGGCAATCCCGGCCACAATCCGGGCAACCCGGGTCACAATCCCGGCAATCCAGGTCACAATCCTGGTCAACAAAATCCCGCTGGCCAGCAACCGACACAACAGAATCCGGGCCAGCCGACCAGTCCGGGACGAGAGAACCCTCATCCGAGTCAGAACGTGAGTCGTCAGCAGTCAGTCCAGAATCCGACCCAACCGGCACAGACTAGTAGAGACCAGGCTGCGCAACAGCAGCCGACAGGTCAGCAGCAGCAGCAGCAACAACAACCGCAACCGCAGCAACAACCGGAACAACGTACCGGAAGTATGGGGACTGTGTTGTCGTTCAGTCCGCGGGACCGTCGCGGGTCCGGTTACCCGCAGGCGGGACATCCCGCCGACTTTACCCTCAACAATTTCAATTACGAGCAGTTGAACAACGCGAAGAATCGCGAGAACAAGAGCGGCGTCGCCGCGGTGGCGCCGGCGCCGCCCACGAATCATCCGCCGACCAACAACAACTCGTTGCAGAACAACAATATCAATCTCAACAACAATGACAACGCGAGGATCATCTCGGAGAAGAACGCGCTGGAGAAGAATCTCAAGAAGCACTCCCTGTTCATAAACGCCCTGTCGTGGAAACGATTCAGCACGACCAACAACAATAAAAAGAAGCTCGACAATAAGAACAAGAACATTTCCTTCAGGCAGCCGCTCGATAATATACCTATCGTTGATAAGAATAAGAATATACAGACGCCACAGGTGAGTACTTTTAGAAGCAACTCTTGTTTAAAAAATGCCTAACAATTTTCTATGCCTTTCTTGTTTTTATTCTATTGTTTTGAGAATTGGTATATTTAATAAAGTTTGTGTTATATATGCGTTAAAAACTGCACAAAATAAATAGATAAAGATAAACGTTTTCATAATTGTTCTCATGTTTTAGTTGCAAATTAAATTATATGTATACCTAAATTAAATTAGAACAAAAATATTTTATCTAAGTACAGACTTTTTTGTTTTATTTCTTCGCAAAGAAAATTTATATATTTTTTTACAATCTCAATCTCTCAATTATCTTTTGCCTTATTCGTAATTTAAGAAAGAATTTTTTTTTTCAAGAACATTGCATAAATTATTTACACACACGATTAAACTCTTTTACATAATAATTTATTCATTAAAGAGTTTTATGTAATAACGATGATAATATCGCGCAATAAATTAAAAGGCATAAGTTTAATGAAATACTGAGAGCTCTGTTAAGAATAAATGTATATAGTTATAGAGCCTCGCGTTTTCCCTGTTGTGTCTAGAGAAATGTAGAGACATTGAGAGACAGAAGGAGATATATATAATGTGAGGAATAAAATATACAACGTGCTTTGACCTCAAACACGATCGAAAGCTCATCGATCGTTTCGATGTCTTTTCTCGCGTGACACACACGAGTAGTTTCTCTTCATACAAAGTTTATCTTGTCGCTAACAATTTCTGTTTCTAGAGACAAGGGTTGTTTCCAAGCATTCAGTACGATACTTAACTTTTTCATATCCTTAATGTTCAATTATTAATTTTTAGGCTCTACAAATTACAATATACGATAATGAACAAGCATGAAATATATAAATTCTCTATTATTCTATCGACTAACATATTTTTTATTAAACATTATCGTTATTGTTGCATGATTGTAGTAAACAATTATCACATTTCATGTACGTGAAATGTACAGTATTTATTAACATATAAAAATATGTTATAAAATATATAAAATATATAATGCATATAATATATATTATAATATTATAATACGTAATATTGTTATAATATATTATAAAAATATGTATTACAATATTGAATTATACACATAATTCAATATCATATCGAAACTTGAGACGCAATATATATGTAAATATGAAATAAGTTTCGATTTAAAAAAAAATCCGAATTTACAAAGCATTGAGAACGTGAAGTGCAATTGAAAATATTTCACGTAAAAATATTTTTTTATCGATATATAGTATTAAGAAAAGAAATTATTTATTAAAAGATAATTTTCCCCTGAATTTAATTAGACAAAACCACCGGCGTCGAACAACAATCACACCACGCACAATCCAACGTGTGAGAAATTGGTGCAGAAACCTTTGCCCCCTGGCCCAAGGAAAACCGTCATCCAGGCCTCCACCTCGGAATTGCTCAAGTGCCTCGGCGTCTTCCTGCATAAGAAATGCACCCGCTTAAGAGACTTCCAAGCCGGCGACGCTGTCATGTGGCTCAGGACCGTCGACAGAAATCTTCTGCTTCAAGGCTGGCAGGTGAGTCATTTAATTCTATTTGCATATATTTCTATTATTTAATCTCAATTTTACAGAGCAAGAGTTTTTGTATCAAAAAATTATATATTATATACGTATATTAAATTTTAAAAGAGATTTTTTAAAAAAGAATTATATGTATTAAATTTACAAAAAAATGTTTTAATGCATATACAAAATGCAAAAGATTATTCACAATTTTCTCTTGCATATAAATAAATATATATAATAAATACAAAAATATTTTTAATAGCCTTTGACGTATTTAATTAATTCAAACATTTTTATTTGTGAATAATCTTTTGCAGAGAATGAAAAAAAAATTATAATTCCGTACATTTCCCTTTCATTAGAAGAAATACGAAACTTCCTCTTGGTAGCAAATACTTTCGTTTACCAGCTAGTTTGCATGCTTCACGAACATATCCGGCGCTAATACAATTATCACGAGCGTTAGTTTGACGTTATAATTAATATATTATATACTCCCGCGGTCGCATATATATATTTCTATCGTAATAATTGGATAATCAAGATGCACCAACGGCATGAGGCAATTAACTCTTGTTGATTGCACTGCGACATTTAACGCCAATACATGCAAGTACAGTATCAATAATCACCAAATACACATAAAAATATATAAAAAAAAAATTAAATTCTTAAGGATAAAACTACTAAAAATTAGTTTGACATTTGAATGTGCGTAATCGTAAAAATGATAGCTTTAATTTAAGAGCTATGCTACTCCACCTATAATATAAAAAAGATAGCGAAAGTCTGGGATATCCTGAAAGGCAACCGCGATCCAATTAAAGAATACGAATATTCGTCTTTGATGCGTTAAAAGGTTTCATTTCCCTTAAGGGACTATCATTACGAACGGCATGATGAAGGAAAGGGGCTTCTTTCGTACGTATCTATGTGTATCGAATGCATCCGAACCCAGTGTCCCGCGGGAATACGCATAATAAGAGTCACCTAGGGCATGTTAGTTGCAATATGTCACGGGAGGGAATTAGGCCAACCTTTCGAGTTTCCATCTGGACGAACTGTCCATACGTTACGTTGCAGTTGACATGCGTCTGCATGTCGTAACGAGAGAGGGTGGCGAATTTCAATACTGCGTTGTGGTCGAAAGCTTTTCTGCAGAGTTGAACATGAAAAAAATGCTAAATTTTTTTTATTCCTCAACATAGATCGCTGAGTATAAAATTCCTCTTTCTCTAAAAAAAAGCTTTTATAAAATAATCAATTTCTCCCGAATTTATTTTTTATTTCCATTTAACCGCCATTAATAAAATGTTGAAAAATTCAAGAATTGTTTTTCCCAAATAATATTTAGGTAGTTGAATAAAAGTGTTCTTATCATGAAACTTTTATATAAAACATATTTTAATATCTTGAATAATTTTCACGATATATCAAGAGAAACAAAAACTCTACGTACGAAAGGTAGTTTATCCCTTAAAAGCAATTTCATCGAAAGAGGAATTTTCGGGTTCCCTTGTGCATATTGCGAGTTTTATGAGCTTCTACACGAAACTGATCGTTCTTTCTCGTAAAAAAATTAATCAATCGGAAACGTTTGCGGTCTCAGTCGGTGCCGGTTCTTGATTCGATTATGAATTTTAGCGAATTTATGCTAATGGGACTATCGTGCACGACCTATGCAAATTGCACACGATCCCTATAAGAACTCGCCTTTTCTCTCTCCGCGTAGAAGCTATCGATCAAACTAAAAATATTTCACTCCGATAGTCAACTGACGTAGATGGCCGCCGACTTAAAAATACTATGAAACTATTAATAATACAATGCAAAAATCCACCTTGTTGTTTATCCACTTTGTGTCTGCGTCTCTTTATATGCCTTTATGCATGATGTATTCATTTTTATCATCGGAGCTGAATTTTTTCACGAATATTGTAAATGAAAAAATATATAAAAATATATATAAATTTTTTTTTTATAAAAAAAATATATATACATACATAGATTTTTAAATTATTTTTTAATTTTCTCAGACGGAAGGATAATTTAATCTCCTTAACTAAATCGTAAAAGAATTGACTTTTGTTGCAATAATCGCAAAGCAGTACACTAAATGTATGATGAAGCAACTTTCAAACGAAAATGAAAGAATACTATACCTAAAATACAGGTACATATACATAAATCGAACCGTCATGCACGAAAGGGTTAATTATCTGCCGAGCATATCAGCGGCATTCTTTTACCTACTTTACGACGAAAGTCGCTATTGACCAACGTTATATTGTATCGTGCAACCTTCAACGTTCAACCTGCAACGCTCAGTGAAGTCTCATGGAAAATAGCGTGAAAGCTCGCTTGTAATAATTCCAGACCACTGCGGCGATATTCCACGATCACGTGGGTGGAATTTCCTCGTCACACGGATGAGTATGACGTTATTCGAGCGCCAATCGTTCGCGAACAATTGCGTCTTGTCGACGTCGATTGACGTTTATGTTCGAATCAGATAAATCTTTTGGAAATAAAAAAAAAAGAATTTCCGATAATTAGGGTCACTTGAAATTTATTATTTGATTTTCAATTTTCGATTTTTAATCTTTGTGTCCGAACAAAATTCAAAGATTCGCATTAGAAAAATCTAAAATTAATCATCCCCGTTGTAAAAAACTAATTTATTCGCTTTTTTTTATTTTCTCCCATTTTTTTCTTGAAATATTTTACGATCAATTTAATCCATATTTTTCGTGTAAGATAATATATATATAATATATAAAATAAAAAATAATATATTCTTTGTAGCTCTTTTTTTTGCAAAATTAACGCCTACTTTAGAATGCAAGAGATATGCAAATAACATTATTTTGTAATCTATAATACAGATCTGCTCTAGTTATTTCCAAGAATAA